ACAACACTTCCCACCCCTAGGCCATGGCACACAACACTTTCCACCCCTAGGCCATGGCACACAACACTTCCCACCCCTAGGCCATGGCACACCACACTTTCAACCCCTAGGCCATGGCACACAACACTCCCCACTCATAGACCACAGCCGACAATAATCCCCACTCATAAACCACCGCCGACAGTACTCCCCACTCCTAGGCCACGGCCAAAACCAACCCCCGCTGAGATGCCAAGTGCGATACCAGAGCCAGTGGAAGTGGAAGAGATAAGCAGCTGCCCATTTCCAATCAAGAAGCTGGTGGCTTTCTTCACTAAGATCCGGGACCTCCTGAACAACCTACAGCGGTCTGAACAGAATTGAGCAGCAGAATGGACAGGATCCATTGCAGGCTGCATGGGACCGTGACTGTTTCCTGCTGGGGCAATGCCTGCTGATCCAAAGGCCGCCTCAGTACTGCAGGGCTGCTCTGTCCTGCCCACGTTGCTCCTCTGCATGTATGCAAATACTAACGTTGACTTAGTTGTTGAAATAAAGTTGCCTTTGTTTGCAGTTAACCATGTTTTCAGTCCAGTTTGGTCTCCTGGGCAAGGCAAGGACTTCCTCGCCTGGGACCTGCAAAATGAGGCTGCGCCAGACTACTTGGGCACAAAGGGAGTCACTCCAAAGGGCTGGAGCTGTGCCTGATCAGAGAGGAGAGTGCTCAGAGCCACCACAGGATGGAGAAGACTGGCACATCAAGGCTAGGAAGAGGACAGGAGAAGACAATGCTACATGCAGACGCCTTGTGGGGGATGCATTAAGGCACACAAACTGGTGACTAGGGCCTGGCAAAAGCCTTAGCTAATGGAGCAGACCTGGGAAACTCCTGAGCATGACAAGTGAAATTGCTGACTGTCACAAAGACAGGGAGGAGCTGACAGGAGCTACAGTGCCCTAAGGAAGAGCAAGATTTCACAAGTAGCGAAGGGGCATTGATGTGTGAGGTGGCACACTTCAGAGATGTTTGAAGGAAGATTTGGGGTCATTCTGGGGAGAAGAACCTGGCAGATGCAACAAGACGGAGGAAACTGCATCAGTAATGCCATGGAAAGCCAAGGTGAGCCTTAACAGCACCTGTAACACCAAGTCTGTTCACAGGTGGGACAAACCTTGGGATTCAGGGAGGAGCAGATAGCAGGGAGGAGAGAAGGGCAGAGAAAGAGAGGAGTTGAGGAAGATGAGGGGGATGTATAAGCATGGCAGATAGGGAGAAGGGAGGATCAAGGAGCCAGTCTCACAGACACAAGCTGCTGGTTGGTTTACTTGTGTGACTGAGCCCTGCACCTAATCACCACAGGATGGAAAAGAGACTTCTTCACCCTAGGTTTCCCGCATCAGGGTCTCAGACATCCAAGATCTGGAGAATGGCAGGTGGGGCTGAAAACAGGAGCATCCTTCTTTGCCTACAGCTTCCAGTTGCTGTGCATCCTTGGCCTCGCATTCTAGGTGCCAAAACTGTCCTTGTCAGCAGTAGAACTGATAGATAGCAAGGACAGGGAGCCTCYCAGAGGGTGTTGCTGTGGCTGTGGCACAAATGGACTGTTGAATCCATGTTTCCCTGTTCTTTGCCCAGGAAGTGTGACACTGCTTGGGTAGCTCGGGCATGTTTGGCTTGTGCTGCCCTGCGCCAGCCATGGCTGTAACCAGATTGGACACATGCATGCTGTCTGCAGGAGACATGTGCGCTAGTGGGTGTTTTTTGGGAAGGAGCTGCTGGGAAGCAGCTGCAGAGAACAGGGTGGCARTGAACTTTCCATAGAGGCAGGGATGCCACAGGATGTGATTTCCTGCAAGCTGTTAGCAGGAAGTTCTGAGAACTTCTGCAAACAGAGGAGCTAAAATAAAGCTGGAGAGGGACATTTTTACWAGGGCAAGTAGTGATAGRAGGAGAAATGGCTTTAAAGTGAAGGTGGGTTTAGAATAGATATTAGAAAGGAATTCTTCTCAAGCAGAGGAATTCAGTTGTCCTCAGCAGAGGACTTCAAAGTTGCACTCAAAACAAATGTCACAACYATCTCCTCCTCAGAGATGGAAAAAGCCTGTCACAGTCATTACCATGACACAAGCACCTACCAGCAGCTTTGAACTGCTCATTCAAATGCCAAGTGACAGGCAGATGTTTTCAGTAGAAATACAGCTCTCTCAGAGCCTTTGCTTGCATCACCCACCAGCATAGCATTGCCTCAGCCTTCTCTGGCCAGGGCTGTGACCTGCTGGAGTCACTTGAGCTCAGCTGGGCTCTGCACATGGCTCTGACCACGGGGCCCAGACAGACTGCGTGGCACTGCCGGCTCTGGAGAGAGGTTTGCTTTTTCTTGTCATGAATGTTTTTGTCAGTAGACAGCTRGCACTAAGAAGAGGACGTAAGAAAACCTATTCCCTGCCTATTATGTTCACAGCAGAATTTTTTTGGTGAATTTCTAGAAGAAAAGAAACACAAACTATAGTTGGGAATTTAAGATAGCCCTGGGGAAAACTGCATGCTTTGTAATGATTTGATAATTACGATGGAGTATAGACTATATAACATGAAATTTAATTGATAAGTGCGCAGATGTACTTTAAGCCCCCCGCTCCACCCGAGCGTTCCCCGCCCTGCGGGACCGGCCCGGGGAGCGGGGCCACCATCGCCGGGACAACGCTGCCCCCTGGCGGCTGCTGGCGGGAGCGCGGGCCGGGCTGCCCTCCGGGAATACCCGGGGATGGATCCCGCGGCGTGGGCCCGCATGGATGTGTCTGGGAACGCAGGTACTGCATCTTTCCAACCCGGAGCCGAGCGGGTASAGACTGCTGCAGGCAACCGCTGCCTCCGGCCGCTCGCCTGACACGTCGCGTTGGTGCTGCCTTAGACACTGGGAATTACTGGTGACACCTCGCTTCAACTGGGTTAAATATTTTCCCACTCCGGGCGTGTGTTTGCACAGGAAAGATCAGCAAGTCACGTCTGCTSCTGTTCCCTCTGCACCAGCCGCCTGGTGTCCTTGGTACCTGGCCGTCAGTTCTTAATGTACATCAACATGCGCTGATATACAGCCAGGCTGATCTTTGACTCGCCTTTGGAACAGCGACACATTTTCTCAACAACAAATTATACTTTGACATTAGAAGGTGGCAATCTGTAATGGATATTGCAATCTGAAGATTGAAAGAGACTATTGGTGATCTTTGTCCTCAGCCGAGTAAGCTGGAGTCTCTTTTTCCTCCTACACGTTATTTGATTGTGGGACATAACCTTGGGATGTACTAATAATCATTAGTCAGAGCYGATGTATCCGTTACAGGCCTGCCCTGCTCAGGGAGGGAGACGTTCGCTAGAACAGCAGTAAATCAGCAAAACATGCGCTTAAATATACAGTAAAATGTGGTTTGAGACACAGTCCTTCATACATCATGTAGCAAAATGTTTTATTGAGAGAGGCACACACACACTAATGAGAAAGGAGGGCTGCTGAGATGAGACCTGCAGAGGGGAAGCAGTTTGGTGGCAGGAAGGGGCTAGGAGAGATCTCTGAGCAGCTCCTGATACAAGGGAAGTTGTGATTCCCCAAGTCCTTCTTAGCTCTYTCGTAGCCTTGGGTGAGCTGGCAGCAAAGAGTGGCAGGTAAAGGAAGCAAGGGAGCCCTGCAGAGCTGTCCAGACACAATGAGCCCTGRGAGCCTGACAGGGGCAGTGGAAGGGTCCAGCTTACCAGGGCAAGTGAGAGGTTTGTTCTGCTGTTCACCAGCTTTGCAGGTTAGGTTGCTASTTTGTCATTTGTTTTTGCTGCTAAGCAGCTGTCTTCTTGGAGCTGAATGTTRCAGGAATGGTTAGAGCATCTCCTTTTCTTTTTTACAGGTATCTGTCATTATTATTTAAATCTGAGTGAATAAATAACATRCATCTGCTGAATGCTTTACTCTCCTGGTTCCTGACCTTGCTGCTTTACCTTCCTTGGTTTGTGTGGTCTTGAGTAGTTGCAGAAACTGTGTCAAAAGGGCTGGCAAGACAGCCAGCCAGATCTCTGTAATGCCTGAGGCTGCATCCCACACTGATCTGGGAGACCCTGAGCTTGCACATCCCTGCTGACCGTGATTGCTGGGCCCACAGGGCCCTGGGGTTTCTCCCATAATCTTGTCACCCATTTTGGAGTTGACCAAATCAGTGCATGTTTGGCTTCTTTTGCTTACTAGTGAYAATTCAACCAATGCAGAAAATGTCCATGATGACTTAACCAAGCTTTGGATCGACTGTCTTCCTTAGTGCAACCTTTCCATGTTACATTTAGTTAGTTCTAATTTTTTTAGGTGAGGCTAGAATAGCTCAAACATTGCAATGRCCATAGATATTTTTACTGCCAAAATGATGTTTGATGCCTGTTTGGTTGGTGGGGTGATAGGCTCAGGATAGGTGTACATTTGCTACTTTCAGTAGTCCTGACTCAAAACCATGTGATTTTGCTGAGGCATGRTAGCCTGACGTGGGCCACAGGTGACTGCAGGCTGAGCTGCCCTGGAGGAACTGAGATCCCCAGCTCCAGCAGAGCATCTGTGACCARCCCAGTCACGCACCTAGAGAGGAAAACAAGGCAAGTCTTTCAGTTATGTCTCCAGTAAATATTAGAATGGTTTGTGCCTTTGTTTTCCWAATTTTGTCSTTTTTTTTTCTCAGAAATCKGTTCCAAGCATGASCACAGATTAATTTCCATGTAAGGCAAGTCAGTTAAGAATRGGGATGTTTGAATGGTTTGCCTTTTAATAAATTAACTAGTGCTCATGTTTTTAACAGCTTTAAGAGGAGATAAGGCCTCCATTCCTCTTGTCATGGCAGCTATTACAAACGGAACATCATTTGGAAGTCAAGAAAAAAAACACAGGCACTTTAGGTCTCAGCCAAGAGAGCTGCAAAGTAGCAAAACTCATTACTAATTCAGAGGAGCTGTGTCCCTCAGAGCTCACCATTACTGGTCTTACTAATAATAATACTGGAGTACATAAATTTAGCAGAAGGCAGAGTTTGGCAGAAGGCAGAATGGTGTTGAAGTGCCACTCTCCCAGTCAAAGACCTCTATGAGGCCTTCCCTTTTTCCAGTCAGCCTGGTAAAGAGCAGTGCTGGGTTATRGGGAAAGAGCTGAGGGGAAGAAGGTTCTGGTTTTATAGCCATAGCAGTCTGGTAACATTAAACCTAGAGAGATAGTGAAAGAGGCCATAGGTATTTATAATTTATTCATAAACAGTTATGCCATCATAAGAAACTTTTTAAAATAATATGTGATAGTTGTTTAAATATGTAAGAGTTTGTTGACCTATTTTCTCAGTTAATTAGGATTTTTTTTTTTTTGGCTGCATTAACAATGACTTGAATGCAGTCTGTTTTAGTCACTGCACAGTTCAGCTACACTGGGTTACAGAAACATGACTTCTTTCTAAGGCACATGACACAGGAGAGGAATGCCATTTTACATGTCTAGATGTGCTTAAAAACCTGGAGACTCACTAGTAGGTAGGGCATAAGCTCAACTTAGTGAATATAAAACCCTTCACCTGGCATCCTTCTGAGATCTAAACCAAACTCTTTTCTCARTTACAGGACTACCCATGTTTTTTCTGCAGCAAAGGGCTATGCTGTAGTTGCCCTACTCTTCAAAGTGCAGTGCTTAGGAGCAGCAAGCTCATCACTACAAGCTGCATTTGTGAGTACACTTCTTATTTATTTTGCCAAGGGCTCACTGGGCCTAGAAGTGGACAGAAATTTGTCCATGTGTGCAGCACAAATGTCACTGGTCACAGTACATCAGTATTGTCAGAAACCAGCTCTTTCTGGATGCTAATGGAAGGCATTATTAGATTAGATGATCTCTGTGCATCTTGCTGGAGCTGGAGCAGGAGAACTCATGTCTCTCCTTGTCTCCTCTGAAGTCAATGGTGAGGTAAGGGCGGATGTGAGAGCAGGGCTTTGGCTGACTATCCAGCATGGACGTAGGCAACTAGTTAGAGATGGCCTCAGGGCCTCCCTGACACAGAGGGAGATTGTCACCAGGAAGGCTGGGTGAACCATCAGAGTCCATCATTTTCTGCTTGGTTCAGGAGGGATTGCTGTGGGCTGTGAATTAGGCTTAGCACCAAAGTGTTAAGTTTGTCCCCCACCACATAGCTTGGGAGTGGTCAGTTCTGAGCTGATCCACTGTAGAAAAGGGYACCAGATGGGTCAGTTCCTGCTCTCTGAAAGGCTCTAAAATGTACATCTCAAGAGGATTATTTTCAGGTCTATTTCTGGCTCTTTTAAAGCTGCAGTAAAATAAACCTTTACCCTTGCTGTTGTCACCTCTCCTTCTTAGGAGGTGTCCAGGATCATGCCATTTCCCAAGGGTTGCTTTAGTGACACTCTGCAGAAAACAACTCATGGTCAGAGAGAAGTTTGAACAAACTCAAAATACAAGGATGCTGTTAACTTCCCATGCAGCYTTTGCAAGGCATCTCCAAAGTGACCTGGGAAGGGTACTTCTCAGTCTGTGTTTCTGCACAGGATGTCACTGAGCTGGCTCAAAGTAAAAGACTAAATAAATGTTGGCTGTCAGGCTTCAACAAGCTTCCTCATCAGGTGCAAATGGACAGGAAAGATTTTCTTCCATTTGCACCTGATGAGGAGGCATGTTTCTTTCCCTAAACTGGTGTCTGCCATCCTGTGTTTCACTCTTGTGGATCAATTCAGCATTCTTGGGATCAATGTTCTCCACTAATGAGTTATTGCTTTTTATTTTCAAATTGAAACTTAAAATCTTCTGGCAAATATTTTGTCATCGGAGGGATACCAAGTGCACAGAGTCAAACCTGTAAGCTCCTAAATGAGAATGGTTGGGTTTATATCATGGGTTTGCTCTTCCTAGAAAGAAATATGACACTAGAAACTTTTTTTTTTTTTGAGATTAAACAGGAGTCAAAACCACAGTGCAGAGGAAGAATTTCTATTTTTGGCTATACTTTTAAGGCAACAGAAGAGGTGTATGTCATTGCCACAGTGACAGCTAATGAGCAGAKATACAATATTAATTGCAGTAAGTGTAGCATACCGAGCAATCTATCAACTTCTATTTTTTCAGCAGCTGTGGTTTAGATACTTTTGCCCAACACTTCTGTCTGAACTGTCTGCTTTGGGGTTGTTCACCCCAATGTGATGGCAGATAGAGGGATTAAACCACCCTTGTCTTCTTCCCRCTGCTCAAGGGGCTGACCCAGTTGTACTCAGCTTGCACCAGCACGAAGCTGTTCTCCCGGATCTTTCGGAAGTGCATCACCTCCCCATTTTCCGTGACGGTGATGACATCAGGGTCGGGTTCACTGAAGGACACCTCGGCCCGCCTGTGGCAGTGCTGGGCACACACACAGCGCATGGCAGCTGCCAGCACCAGGGCCAGCACAGCCATGCAGACCAGGAGGATGCCAAGCTGGGCTGCAAGGAGTTGGGTTCCTCTGCCAGGATCTTCCCCTTTGCCAGAAGCAGCAGATTCAAGAGCTGGTCCAGTCACCCATGGCAGAGTATTCCCAGCTGCCTTCTCCTCGTCCTTGTCCTCCTCACCCCTGGTGCCTGCCTCCTCTGGCTGTGGTGCCAGCTCTTTTTCTGCCATTTGCCTTGAAGCCAAGGATAAATTGCCAGCGGCGCTGGCATCGCCCAAACGGGCTGTGGTCACAGCAGTGTCACCCAGGTGAGTGTGCACATGCAGGGCAGAGGCAGACACTGTCACTTGCAGGGAGGTTTTCAAGATGGTTGCATTCTTGTTGCTGGCCTTTAAAAGCAAATACATGCCAAAATGTGCAGTGAGGGAAGAGAAAAGGGGGCTGATTAAGTTCTCAGTACCTACCTCTTGGTACACTTCACCGCTGTTCCTGATGCCTGTGTGTCCYTCTGGCCTTAGATTAACTCTTCTCTAGTCCCTGTTTACTCAGTAGCTTTTAGAAAATGAAGCAGATGCAACCCTGCTCCATCCATACCAGAATTTCCATGGGAGAGACTCAAGGCACTCAAATTGGTCCCAGGGGCAAAGGCAGTGTGGGTTGGAGGGACAAAGGTTAGGGCACAGGTGCAGAGGAAGGTCACTGCTTTGTCTAAGTGGAGGTCTGCACTTCCTGTTGTGGTGGTGGTATTTTTCACATGGTTATCGCAAAAAASCCCCACTTAATGAACAATTCCCACCTTGAGTGGCACCGGAGTCATGCGGGAAGGGCAGGTGGGATCTTCCCAGCCAAGCTGCATGTGTAGGATCACATGGACCCACTGAAGTTCCATATTACCCTTCTGAGGGCAATGAAGTGGAGGGACACAGGAGACTTGGGATGGCTTTGCCATCAGCAGTTTTGGGGCATTCATGTGCAACCTATAAACTCTCCCCAAAGCCTGTCTTGTTTTCCCAGTTTACACAACCAGTTAGAAATCTTCTGCCTCTCTGTGTTGCTTAACCACCCATTTTAGTGAGAATGACAGTTCCTGCCTGTGCCTGTTTCTAGGGACTGTCTGGTTCCATGCACCCTATTTYATCTGTCACAAAATGCCAGCTGCTCCATGCCTGTTCTGCAGACCAGGCTTTGCTGCAAGTAGCATCCAAGACTAACTGGGAAACAAGCATGCAATTTAGGAGGCCCCCARTGAATTTCTCCATTCCCACTATGCACCTGAGCCCCCATCCAAAAGCTGCAAAAYGTACTGGAGTTTTTTCTTTGACTCCGGTGAGATTTGGATCTGGCCCTCAGTAGCTGGCACCTCTCCAGCCTGTCCAGCCCAGCAGGCTTTTTCACACATCCATTAATTACACCAGAGAAACTCTCACCCTCTACCATCATTAGCAATTTCTAAAGCTTCCTGGGAAGACAGTGTGACAGGAGCACAAAGCTGAGGTAGGAGCCCTGGCAAGCTCTGAAGCAAAGTAGTGGAGGGTCAGAGCATCCTTTGTGGAAGGGATGGTTTCTGAAAGTGCTGTTAAAATACAGTAGTAAATAGAAGGCTTTCAGTGGCTGAACTGCAAACTGTAAAGTAGCTGGCTGGCAAAGTTAGGACTGCATGTGTATGGATCACTTGCCCTCAAAATGCAAACACCATCCTGTGAGGATATACTGCAGGATTGGGGACTTTGGGTTAGAAAATGCAACTGTCTCACAAGTCCTTGTCCTATCCCAACTAATTCCTACTTTGTTTCATATTCCTCTCCATTCTTGCCTAATTTCTCAGTATTTTTGTTTCTTAATGCTCTTCTGGTCTTGCCTTGTACAATAATTCTTCCTGCCCTTTGGTTTCTATCTATTTCCATTTCTCTGCTTTTCTCCAGGGCTATGGCAGCTGCTTGTGGTACTCGTCTCTCCTTTACTTGTTCTCAGTCCTCCATTCCTTCCTCAGTATTTCTGCCTCATTTTCTGCTATATGTCCCCTTCCTCTTTTATTTTCTGTGAGATTATTTCTCTTCCTCCTTTGGCATCCTGCAAACYAGATCTAGTTCTTTATTCACCTTGTTTTTCTTCTCTCCGTCACCTGCATACTGGACTTACCCTGTTAAMTTTGTATCCTGTGTCTTTAAACACACATATTTCCAGCAGCCTGTAGTCATGTCTACAAATGGGAAAGCAATTGCTTTTACAG